TATCTGTAATGATTGTTTTATTTTAAATTAGTTTATCTGTGAAAGAATTAATCAGTTATGAAATTTTTCTGTCAAAACTTAACAAGAGACTCATAATAAAAGTGAACTAATTAAGAAGGAAAATTCTAGATGCTTTATATTCTGTCAAAATATGTCTAGGCTCTTGGAGTCATATTTTCTCACCTTTTACCACCATTCTGCCGGGAAAGACAACTCTTCTAAAATAAATCTCATGAAAGTTTTTGAATGGTAATTTGAATTTTGAAACATTGGATAAATTACTGTGACTCTACTTTAAAAAAATGGAAAAATCATTCTCACTAGAGTATTTCTGGCATGAATCTTTGACACATAAAGATATTCACAATAGTTATTATCTTAGAAAGTAAACAGAAAAATAAACAACTTTTGAAGGCATTATTAACCTACTTTAAGTAAGTAGGCTACATTAGCCTACTAGCCTACTTTAAAAAGCCTTCTATTAGCCTACTTCAGAAAAATTAAAGAACAGTAAGATTCAAATATTCATAAGGGAACAAGAAATATATCATTGATTGGTGGGGTTCACCTTAGCAAAAGAAAATATTTCATAAATATCTTTAACTTGATGCCCAGTAGTACATTTTAAAATTCGTTCAGTAATAAAAAAGACATGATAATATCACATCTTTAACATCATGTACACTATATCCAAAAAAGAAATTTCCTAAAATGATAACAATATTTTTCTTATTTTTCCTTCCATATTTGTAATTGTAAAACAAATGCTAGATGCAACTTTATTTTATGAATTCGGAGCCACACAAATACGTCTGAGTTGATGGTCTACCAAGAGAAACATCTTAAAAGAAGCAAAAAAAAAAAAGCACTTTTGGTGACATTTTATTTGGCCTTAAAGCAGTGGGGACACAGAATTTTAGAGAAGTGGAATATATCTCCTTCTTAAATTAGGAAAAGGGATGAAAATGAAGATGCAGCTAGAATCTTTTTAAAAAAATAATGTTTTTGCCTGTGCTGGGTCTTTGTTGCTGCATGGGCTTTTCTCTTGATGCAGAGCCTGGGCTCTAGGGTGCAAGGCTTCAGTAGTTGCAGCATGTGGGTTCAATAATTGTGGCTCCCAGGCTCCAGAACACAGGCTATATAGTTGTGATGCATGGACTTAGATGCCCTGTGGCACATGGAATCATCCTGAACCAGGGATTGAACCTGTGTCTCCTGCATTGGCAGGTGGATTCTTTACTACTAAGCCACCAGGGAGGCCTAGAGATTTTTAAACTCTTTTTCCCTTTTTAAATGTATTTTTTAAACTGTGATAAAATATATATAACATAAATGTTGCCATTTTAACCATTTTTAAGTGAATAATTCTGTGGCTTTAAAGTGAATGCACCATGTTGTTATGTAACCATTACATCTATCTATCTCTAGAATGTTTTAATCTTCCCCCATTAAACACTAACTCTCCATCCCCTACTTCCCCAGCCCCCAGCAATCACTATCCTACTTTTCATCTCTGAATTGAACTATTCTAGGTACCTTACCAAAGTGGAACATACAATATTTGTCCTTTTGTGACTGGCTTATTTCGCATAGCATAATAGCCTCAACATGCATCTATGTTGTAGTATGCATCAGAATTTCATTCCTTTCTAAGTCTGAAAAATAGTCCACTGTCTGTAGTAGCCACCACATTTCCTTTGGTCATTTATCTGCCCATGGGTACCTGCTTTACTTCCATCTTTTGGCTCTTGTGACTTATGCTGTTTCAGTTCAGTTCAGTCGCTCAGTCATGTCCAACTTTTTGTGACCACATGGATGGACCACAGCACACCAGCCCCCACATCCACCATCAACTCCCAGAGCTTGCTCAAACTCATGTCCATTGAGTTGGTGATGCCATCCAACCATCTCATCCTCTGTCGTCCCCTTCTCCTCCTGCTGTTTAAATTCTTTTTAAAAACATTTCTTGTAAAAGCAGAAGTTTCTTGTAAAATATTGGCTAAAAAAATTTCTCAGTAGGAGAAAACTGACACCTTTTGTTTCAGGTGGAAACCTACATGGTCAAGGAAGAAACTGCATGTTATTCAGTAATCCTGTTAATACAATCACCTTCCTGCAAGTTAAGGGTCATTTCACTAGAGAAAAAATGTACTATCCTTTTAACCACCCTCCCTCCAGATCACCAAACAGTTTTAGAATTCATGTGATATAGAGATTGGATAACATCCTCCTCTGGTTACAAAATTTGAGCCACTGAAAGGTGACAACCATTTGCCAAATTCACCAAGAATAGTAAAAAGAACAGAGAATGAATCCTTGTCTTCTAATTTTCCATGGAGTTGGGTTTACACCAATTCTGTGGATACCTGTAAGCTTCAGAGTCATGATGGTCCAAATAGAGGGTAGATTTTAGGATGAATTCAAGCCTACCTTAAACTCCACACTGGGAGGTTGATTATTCAGATTTCATTTTATTATGATCCCTTGCAATCAAGTTTTAAATGATGGACTCCCAAAACGTTCACATGTGTTATGCAAGACACCATAAAGATTATCTTGGGTAATCTGTCAATTTACATCAGGCCGAGAAGGAGTATTTTCCCATCACATCATATAGCCAGTTGCCTTAAATCATTTTAGGAAGAACAATGGAGATGGGTTAATTAGTAACATCCTACATCTCCTTTTATGTCTAAAAGGATGATTCTAGCATAATTTGATGGTTTTCAAGGCAGCACACTAGGAAGTTATCATTTCACATTTTCAGGCTGCAGAAGCTGAGTGCCATGAAGTTGAAAGAATCTGAACCTTTCATCTCAGGAACTGCTATTAAAATGGATGTGTTTATCAAAGGCCAGATCTTGTTGATAGCTCACCTAATTGAATGCTTCTTGGAGACGAGCTATCCATATGGGAGAACCATCACATTGCTCAGTAATACATTCAGTTCCCTTCTTGCAAGTCTAGGGCTGTTTCCTTAGATGAAAATTAAGGTCCTACCTTCCTGTGAGTGCCTTTCCTTCCAATCACTGTCTTAATGTTGCCCCTCAGTGTGATTTCATCTGAAAGGCAAGGAGGAGTAACTTTCAGGTTTCATGCTATAAGGAAATCATAATGAAACCCTCCACCGCTGCTTTTAAATTTCTGCCACTCAAAGGTGACATCTTATCATCTGTTTAAAAATACTGTGCTCAGTCTCTCAAACAATGTCACATAAAAAGAGCAAGCAAAAGGAAAAGTCATTCACCTTTCTGTCTAATAAGGCATTCAACCTTTGCAGCAAATGCTGAGCAAATATGTATTTCTTGCTTTAAGTCATCGGGGTGTGTAGAAAGATTCCCTTCACAATTCCAAACTTGTAAAATCAATAAATTATGGAAATTATTATTTATATTGCACAGAAATTCTTATGTTTTTCATATAAGGGCTCACTAAGCCTTGATTCTGCCTTCAGAACCTTGGATGAGTTCATTTCATTGACATTACTTTCTTGTGTTTTGTTTTAATAATGTAGATTACAGCCACAATAACAAAAGCAAAGGAATCTGGAAAATAAGATTCTCAGGTTTCCAGCCCTCTGATGAAGGGAGAGTATGAAAGTATGGAAATAAATGCAAAATTTATATATACATATAAATTATATATATATATTTACATATATAAATTATATATATATTTATATAGGCTTCCCTGGTGGCTCAGATGGTAAAGAAATTGCCTGTAATGCAGGAGACCCAGGTTCCATCCCTGGGGAAAGATCCCCTGGAGAAGAGAATGACTACACAATCCAGTATTCTTGCCTGGAGAATTCCATGGACAGAGGAGCCTGGCAGGCTACAGTCTACGGGATGGCAAAGAGTTGGTCATGACTGAGCGACTACCACTTTCACCTCTTAGGCTTCCCAGGTGGCACCAGTGATATATTGTTGTATATTTGGAGACAGTCATAATACAGAATATTTTCAATGTCATACAGAGACATGCACATACACACATCTGCCAAGTTGGGTAGAGGGTTTCCCTTTCTCACTTATCAGCTGTGCTAGCCTGAGGTCACATCATCCATACAGAAGTTTTCCTACATGGAACCATCTCTAGACTCTTTCACAGAGATGGTTGTAAACACCACGTTGTGAACATCCACCCACTTATTTTATTCTTGTACCCTCTGGTTAATGTTATCACAGTTATGTAGCAATGAAGAGCTCACAAAAATTAAAAGAGAAAGCAAAACACACATAAAAAGCCAGTTAAGCTTGGCTATTCCATTTATGAATTAGACGAAGGAGGCTTTCTTCCTAAGACTGTCTAGAGCAGCCAGCTGGCTTGCATCTATAAGCCAGTTTAAGCATGTGCTCTTGTGTTTGCATCTGAGTAGTTTCTTATTTGGCAATATTTCTTGAATATCCACCCTAAAGCAAGACAAAGAGAAACCACAGACATTTCCCTGGATGAACATAGTTTTAGTTAGTTTCCTGAGCATATATTGAGCAGGAGGAACTTTACATACATTTATGTACATCGTTAAAATAAATCTTCAAGGCAAATATTATCCTCATTTTACAAAAAAAAATTAAAAAATAGAAACTAAATATCTTGCAAAACCCCGATTCCAGTCTAATTACTGCTAACACAGAAACACATAAGAAAGTAGTACACCCACAAGCTTGTCTGAAGAGCAGAAAGAATGCAGAGCAAAGCAGAGCAGGAGATGGTTGAAGACGAGTACCCAGAAAACCACTGGTTACTGAAGCAAATCAATTACCCCAGATCCCTTTTAAAAAGCAGAAACATAACACTTATACAAAACACTTGCACTAATGCCTTATGACACTTAAAACAGTTATGTTTTAAATTTACATAATTGCTAATTTAGCATTCACTTTTGCTTTCTAACATGTCAATTTTCTCTTAACAATGGATCAGGCTGTGCTCATGGTCTGGTCAGCCTTGGGAGCTGTTGGGGTCTGTGGGAACAGAACAGACTCTTGGCCAGTCCGATGGCTTCTCGGTGGCCAGCTGTGGGGGCTTCCCTGCGTCGGAGGTCTCTCCAGAACCAGGAGCAGTTGGAGGAGAGCGAGGCCCTGCAGCCTGTAGCCGGCCACCCAGACACCTCCAGCGGGGCCCTGGGCTCCCTGTGCAGACAGTTCCAGAGGCGGCTGCCCCTGAGAGCAAACAAGGACGTGACTCACAAGGCCCCAGGTAGGGGCTGCTTGGGGGCCTCTGCTCTCCTGCTTCAGCCACCTCCCGGCCCGCCAGGGGCCACCTGCCACAGCCTGCAAGCGACTCAGGGAGATCTCGGAGGGGTGGGGGGAACCATTCATTCGACTTCCCTCTGGGGCTTAGGAACTCAACGTATGAGCTTTACAGTTGCATCGTCTGTAACGTGAAGTGCAGATGGCAGGTAATATTTGAGAGCTTGAGCTATGTATCCAGGAGTGGAGTCTACAAAGAGTTAGACCATATTATCACCAGTGCAGGGGCTCTTGAGAACCCAGATTTAGCTCTACTTCCCACACAAGAACCCCGGAAGGAGGGATGGGAGAGGTTTCCAGGCCCCAAGATCCTGGGTCCACTGGGACCTATTCTCATTCTCAGCACAGGGCACTGTGAGCATAGAGGGCACACACTATTCAATAGTGATTTCTGCCCTTTGTAAATTATTTAAGAAATCTGCTTTGTCATTTTATTAAAAAGAAACCAGTGTATGACTTTCCTGGATAACACTGCTTTTTCATAAAAAAGACTCTTTCTTTAAAAAACAACAACAACAACAACAATGGTTCATGTATTGATGGATTCGTATTATGCACTAAATTTTGACACCATACACATAAAAGCATTAAGAATTAAGAATCTGTGACTGTTAGAGGGCTTCCACTGTGGCTCAGACGGTAAAGAATCTGCTTGCAATGCAGAACACCCAGGTTTGATCCCTAGGTCAAAAAGATTCCCTGGATAAGGGAATGACTACCCACTTCAGTATTCATGCCTGGAGAGTTCCATGGACAGAGGAGCCCGAAGGGACACAGTCCATGGGGTTGCAAAGAGTCAGACATGACTGAGTGATTATTTCCAAGGAAAATTTGATGTTTAAGCTTGGACGTATTACGAAGGACAATGTGGTATGGCCAGAGTTCACAGAATTCAGCTACAGCAAAGATAAAGTTCACCTTGACTGGCATAGGTACTAACAGTCCCAAGCTCCTGCCATTCATTAAGTTTACAGACTGGCCTCTGTAAATCACTGGTCAATTTTAGCCTCTCCAGTTCTGCCATCCTGGAAGCAGACCCAGTCAAAACATAGGGGACCATGAATAATAATCTAATAAATAAAACAGCTAATTTGGAAATCTTAGGTCAAAACCACTTTCTTGCAAGTAGGAGTTTTGTACTGCCTCAGGAAACTATTCTATGGTCTCTTCAGTTCATCACAAAAGTTATCATTTCCAACATGAAAAGGTTGCCTTAAATTTTCCTTAAAGTTCTTTTCAGCCCTTATTGTAGGCTAATTTTCAACATGGATTTGACTACAAAGACTTTATGTATCCAAAAGAACAAATTCAGGCAATAGGTTTAGTTATTTTGGTGACATATAAATACAATTTTAAGAGCTAATTCACCATCTCCTAACAAGATTGGAATCACCATGACTGAATTTTATTGTCCACCTTAAATCACCAAGCAAACTTTCAAGTGGAGTAAAACATGACTTGGCTAAAAGCAACAAGTGGATGCAGGTCTCATGACCCAAGGCAGTGGTTCTCAAACATCCTCATCCTAGCTCCAGTCATTATAATCTTATATAATGGGACCCCAACTCAACCTCAGTCACATACACACAAAGCAATTTTTATCCTTTGAGATGAAGAAATAGCAATTCTACATTGACCAAATGGTAAGATTTTTTTTCCCCATAGCTACATACAACCCACCTTGGGTTGGGTAGACAAAAGTAAGAGATAATCACAAGGCCTCCTTGTCACAAATATAATCATGTCTTCTACTGAAGGACTATGCTAAAGCTACCTGAGTCAACTCTATCAAAAAGATTCATGATAACAATACATGTTTACAGGAGAATTTTTCTTAAAACAAATTTCTTCCAATCACTTAAGAAACACTATTAGTCTCTTACTCTTCCCTCTTTCCCAATAACTAAATATGAATGTAATTGGCTCCATACAACTATAGGTAACTATGTTTCTCTGAAATGTAATCAGTTACATTATTTTTGTACTATAATTGTTATGGATCTGCCTGTCATCTCTCTTCAACAAAAGACAGAAGTTTTTTCTTTTTCTTTCCCCACTGACCTATGTCCTCCACATTCTTTTAGGTTATAAATACCTAATGGTATCTCATAAACAAAAATCCCCCAAATCAAAAAAAGTATTTTAATTGCTTTCACCTCTTTTCCAATCTCTGAAATACCAGTTTTAATGTTCTATTCATTAATAACACCAATTTAATATGACATTAAGAAGAAATATGAAAAAAAGAAGAAATATGTAAGCAATTAAAATTTTTTCAAACTAGAAATTTTATTTTGACATGTGTTGTAATTGCCAACCTTCTTTGTTCCAATTATGAATTTAAGCAAGTGAAATTTACCTCCAGCTCCTCAAGAAATATCTTTGCTTGCATGTTTAAAGTCTGAATGTCATCTACTAACAAAATTTGGATCACCATTATTTAATTTTCTGGTATGAGTCCTGACCCCATAGATTGCTAATTCTCTCTTCTGTATATGCTCTTTCTTGTAAAGTATGGTTTCCTCAAGGACAGGAGTAACATTTTGTTCCTATGAACACACAGGGACTGGCAGACTCCATGCTGTTCATTGATGATTTACTGTATCTTATAAACTATTCTGATCAAATATTCACATCAATGGGATAATGGTAGTTTACATCTTCTCAATGATTAAAGTCCCTATCTTCTATTCCAAAGACAATACTATAAAAATTTCCTCTACTTTCCTTGGGAAAAAGAAAAAGAGGTACAAACACATAGGAGCAAAAGCTGGAAAATATTATAGCACACAGAATAGCATTCATAAACCATTACTAAAATCATGTAGTTGTATAAAACAAGTAGGAGAAGTGCCACAATATAAAGTGACATTTTGCAGAGTCAAGCTCATTTTTAGTAACCTAAAATATATGTTACACGTATTTGTTTTTTGCTCTTTAGTTGCTAAGTTGTGTCTGACTTTTTGCAACACCATGGATTGTAGCCCACCAGGATCCTTTGTCCATGGGATTTTCCAAGCAAGAATACTGGAGTGAGCGGCCAGTTCCCTCTCTAGGGGATCTTCCCAACCCAAGGGTTTAAAGAGTATATTACATTATAGACCAGAATGAATTTGTTATGTGAGAACTACCTACATATATTCACACATAGGGAATTCATTCTGATCTATAATGTAACATTGTGTGTGTGCTCAGCCATGCCTGACTCTTTGCAACCCCATGGACTATGGCTCGTGAGGTTTCTTCTCTGTCCATGGAATTTTCCAGAAAAGAATACTGGAATAATGTAATATACTCTTCCATAAAAGTATTACATCAGGTGTTGTTCTACTGGACTTTTAAGGCAGAGAAGATATGCTAAGCACCTGGGTCAAGACTTAGAGAGAGAGTCAGAATCTGAATTAGAAGTAGCTACCCTTTCAATAAAAAAGGGATAAGGAATCTTATTTTTTAAGAGCCCATTAGATGTGTGATAAGCAGAAGAATGAGGATGAGATGGTTGGGTGGCATCACTGATACAATGGACATGAACTTGAGTGAACTCTGGGAGATGGTGGGGCACGTGGAGGCCTGGCGTGCTGCAGTCCATGGGGTCACAAAGAGTCAGACATGACTTAGCAACTGAACAACAAGAAGCAGAAGAATAACTCCTTAAAATATATTCATGTCTTTATCCTGGGGTCAGTGAATATATTGTCTCACGTGGCAAAAGAGATTTTAAAAATGTGATTAAATTAAGGATCTTGAGCTGGGGAGATAATTCTGTATTATCCAGGTGGGCCCTATGAAACCACAAATATGCTTACAAGTGAAAGATGGATGCAAGAATTTAAGAGTCAGAGAAGGAGATATGATGAGGGAAACTGAGTCAGAGTGATGAGCATGAGAAAGACCTGATTGGCTTTGAGGATGCAAACCATTGAAGGAATGCAGGCAGCCTCTAGAGTCAGGAAAAGGCCAAAGAAGAGTTCTTTCCTAGAGTTTCTAAAAGGAACACAGCCCTGATGACACTTTGATTTTAGCCCTGTGAGGCCCATTCCATACACTCACCTCCATACTGTTTCAAGTCACTAAATTTGTGGTCCTGTGTTAGAGCAGTAAGCGCCTACTACAAGAGAAGGAAAGTTACTCGGCTCAAAATAGCCTGGAGTTAAAACTCCCCTCCAGGTCAAAAATGGACATTAAGGTTGATTACACCCAGCTCCCAGCCAGTCCCAGCCTCTGGCCGATCTCTAGAATTCCTTGCCCCAGCCATTTAAAGAGGTAACTAATCCGAACCACCTTGGAGAAGAACAGGCCCCCTTAAGACAGTAGATTTCCACATATATGCCTATATATACTTATTCTTTTCTTGGGTTAGGGCAGCAGCTCACTAACCTGACTGCCGCCCCTTCTCACCTCATCAAAGGTGATCTGTTCCTGTAAAGTGCTGGTCTCGTTCTTTTTCCGAACCTCGCCTTCTCTAACTCCCTTTCCCTACATTTTTGGTGCCAAAACCTGGAAGGTTGGAGGTTCCTTCTCATTCTCCACTGTCAGCTTTTTGGAGCATGGAAACCTGCCAAGCTCACTTCTCCGCGTGGGCTTTCAAGACCTCGAGAGGATGTCCTGTGCCTTCGTGAGCGGCACAAGTTCTGTGTAAGGGCTTTATTGGTTTTCCATGTACCCTGAGGAATATTGGTCTCTCTCTCTCTCTTTTCTCTACACTTTCTTTCCTGTGAGACCAACCAACTCCAGGAGAGAGGCTTTTTGCCATTCAACCTCCCTCCATCCACCACGAATTCTCACCTGACCCAGCAGCCCAGGTAAGCTTGGACAGTACTCTAGGGCGCCATAGACTATCGTCCTTTCTGGGTTCCTAGGGAACCCTCCGGCTAAAAGGCCCTCTGGGGAGGTACTTGGGGGACAACCCTCCCTCCTTCAGAGTCTCTCTCTCTCTCTCTTTGCCCA